CACACACACACACACACACACACACACACACACACACACACACGTTTGTTCTTAAATCTCGTGGGGACTTTCCATTGACTTCCATTCATTTTTTTAGACTTTATAGCCTAACCCTGACAATATACCCTAAAATTGACCTCATAGGTACCTACCAGACCCTAAAACTAACCTAAATCTTGGTTCTAAACCTAACCCCACACCTGTAATTTGCATTTGGACCTGRCATTGGTCCCCCCGATTCACTTCGATCCCCACGAGGCTGCTTTTTTTGGGGAAAATTGTCCCTACGTTGCGAGAAAAACCCGTCCAACCACACACACACACACACACACACACACACACACACACACACACACACACACACACACACACAGATTGAGTAACTCTCCCTATTATGTGGTGGTAAAGGATTAGTGGACCTTGTTCAGTGATGGGACCTTTTCCAGTTTGATAGAGGGGAACCAAGCCTTAACTGCCTTGGTTTAAACAGCAGCTTTGTGGGAGACTACAACCAAGCATAAACTCTTGACCATAATTTATTTTGTCATAAAACAAAAATGTGGGTGCTGCGTTCATGTTATTATGGGAAGTTTAAAACTTATTTTGTCTGTTTTGCCTAGTTTGTTGTGTTGTGTTATACTTTCATTTGAATGGAGAATAACAATAAAATTTAAAAACTGAATGTTGATGTAAACTCTTTTGCAAGTTGGACACTCCTAGGAACTAATTTGTAGCTCCAAGCTGGCTAAAGTGACCTAGCTAACACTTATTAACTGCACTTCCTCACTCTGCTGTCTATTCTCTCTTTTTTCAATGCTTGTATTGGAAATGACTGCATTTCTGTCAGTAACCTGTATTTTTTTCCATTGAAAATACACACAAACCAATAATTCAGTTTGTTTGTTTCTGTTCTCTCCTCTCAAACCCCAGACGTCCATTTCCTAATAGACCTTATGTGAATGTGTTGGTAGGTGTAACAGAGCTTTTGTTAAAATGTGTGTTTTTTTACTTTTTATTTTTTGGGCAGGGGGGGGGGGGGGGGGCTCCATCTCTACTGGCTCTGTCTAAAACAGATTGGCTATGTTCACACTGAAGGCAAATACAACCCAACTTTTCTGCTCCACGTGACCCATTTCAAATTTTTTCATGACAGTATGAACATGACAAATTTGACTTTTTTTTTCAAATCCGACACAGGTTTTTTTCAGTATTTGGTACTGAATCAGAGCCAATGTTTTTCAAAGTGACTGCAGCCTGAATGCTCATGTTTAGGGCTGCAACGATTAATCAATTAATCGATGACTAATCGATTATTAAAATAATCGATGAATAATTT